ATAGCTGGCCAATCACAGCACACCTCACTTTTCAGACCGATGAGCTTTGTAAAAATCGACCCGTTTCAAAAAGGCGGGGCATAGAGGAGAAACAATAATGTACAGTATGTGGAAAATAATGTGTTTTTTTTTTTTTACTTTAAACCGCATAAACACATTTCGTTACACCAAATACACAAAATAATGTTCTTTTTAGCAGCATCATATGACCCCTTTAACATGTAAATCTTTATTTTAAACCTTAATCATGTTAGATGCATATTGAATTTAACGCGGGTCAAAGCGAGTCTGATAGACTTGCAGTCTTTATAATGGCAACTTTCACAACTGTTTTATGAAGTTTAATACATAAATTGTGTGTCTGAAAGGGAAACTCCTACAAATGCATATGCAATAAAGTCAGCCACAAAATAACTCTGTCCATGCCTTTTCAGTGCTATTTTTTCACTGCATGTCTTTAGTAAAGTCTGACTAATGCCAAAAGAGGGATCAATGCAGCAGACATATCATGTAAGTGGCAATTTCCAGAAAAGACTTCTGACACTTTTGTGAGGGTTGCACTTGAGAGAATTAACCAAGTGCTTGTGGTTTTTCTACACTGGAGTAGAAATGGTAGTCTGAGGTTGCTAATACTGGTTTAAAAGGATGTTGAAATTATAACTACAAATTGCTAAGCATTGGCACATTTTACTTACATCTAGTTCTTCATAGTAGTGGTTGAGAAGGACGAGTTCAGGGTCGGCCCCAGGAATGTGCTTCATCACCATGTTGTGGCTGAACGGATGAACATTAAGGATGTACTAAACACTTAAAGCTGCCTACTGCCTGACAGATATCAGAAATAAGTGTCCTGAGAATTATACACGTTTCTGTCCCAGCCTTAGATTTGATTAAGGTGTCAATGTATAGATTTGCATTGCAGTTGAACAAAGAAATGATTGAAAGGTGAAGGATGTGGATACACCACTGGATATCACATGACAATGACCTGAACAGCTGAAAGTTAATCTGTTTTAAAGCTGTAACCCTGTAAAGGTTTCGTTTACAGATTACAGAACAGACTTCTGTCCCACCACAGAAAGCATGGTAACCTTAGCTGAAGCTGGATGTTGTAGCTTGAGAACTAGAGTAAGAGCTGCAGCAAAGACACACAGAATATAAATCTGGAGGGAAGTGAAAAGTGAGAAGGGAGTGGAAACAGTGCGAGACAAAAGATTGTAAAAAGATACATTTAAGAATGAAAGGTGCAGTTATTGTTTTCTAGATGTATACATATATTTTAGATTAAACATAAGTTGCCTTTACAACATTAAGGAGACTTCATATTTTGAATATATGAATGCATACATAATAAATAAACATGAATACTGATTAAATGGAAAAAAATGAATAATTATTCATGTTTATTCATTAATGCAGCATTTTGTTACAGTAAATGTCTTGACATTTCTAGTCCTCTATAATGACAATTCAAAATATGATGGAATAAATGATAAATTTATTAATTAGAAAAAAAAAAATCTATTTACAAACTGACAAATGAGACATTTAAAATTATTTCATGTTTTAATATGTAGATAAATGTATCATAATAAATAATCATCCTAAAAGCAACGTTTAAATGGCAATAATAAAAAAAGAATCTGTCAATTGCTTAATCCAATTTATATTGTTATATTTAACAACACTTTTAAATATGAATTAAATTAATTTTTCAAAAATGTCAATTTGATGGTCAGTTTGTAAAGTGTTATTTTATTTTTATTTTTTTTTATCGACATTCTTGTTTTCCATAACTGATTGACTGGTCATCAGGTGATTTTAAAGGATACTAAAGAGGAATGTCCTGGGTCACAAAAGCCTTGACCTGTTATGAATTGAGAGGAGAAAGAAGTAAATAATACAACATAACCAGGTGAGCTAATGTGAAGTTTCCAGTAATAGTTTTCATTACCGTTGTTTGTCTAGAGAACATGAATATCACAGTGATGATATATGAAGTGAATGTAAGCTTACCTCCCTCAGCCTATTCAGCTGTCATCCACCACATGTCTGGAGAAAGTTGAGAAATAAGATATGTAGAAACAAATAAAGTACACTTCTAGTCACTAAATGTTGCATAAAGTAAGAGATTTTGAACAAACAGTTGAGTGAATGATTCAATGACTCAAAGGCAATCACTTGTCGCCACCTAATAGTGTAGGGTGTAATTTTCAGAAAGAGTCACTGGTAAATCTTTACCACAAATACACATAAATATCGGTCTCAAACGCATAATGAAAACAGTGAAAGTCTCAGTGCCGTTGGAGTTTATATCAGCACTCAACCAATTAAATTCAAAGACCAGAACTGTTGTATAATGTTTAAATGTTTTTCTAAGAATATGTACTATTTTGGGGATATTCAATTGTTTTCTTAAAAGATTTTCCTCAGGCTAGACCTAACTGACTTTTATTTTGACATGTGAATTTCATACAGACTTATATTTTGACATTTAATTTGAACTGAATTCTGCAGCAAAACCCTGGTTTCATTTCGGTGAAATCGTTCACTAAACTCCTAAACATTAATCCATACACAAACACTCAAGTTTATAAAGAGTAATTAAAAGCCTTAACTAAAACGCTAGTTGAGCCATTAATCTCTTATTCACCATTGAGGCAACACACATTTACAACTGCTATTTCCTGAACGTCTCCCTTACTCTAGGGATTAGCCTACACATTCATATAAAACAATGCGTACAAACGTCGGAGCTTTGCCAATTCAAACAAACGACGAGTTACACAAGCAGGTTACAGTAAGTGTTTTCAGAGTCTGAGTCTGAACGCATCACTCGCTGGAGATTGAAGCGGAATGAAGGGTTTCACTCACCTCCACTCTGGCTCTCGCTAGACCATTGAGTTTTTTCGTGTCCACTTCATAGGATAAGATGACGGAGGGAAACAGGGCAGTGAAGATCAGCGTCCACATGCTGCCGGAGACGATGCTCGAGCTCGAGGTCAAGCTGTCCGCTCTCCACACTGACTCTGCCACGTCACGGCGCGCATATTTCGCTTTCTCTTTTTTTCTTGCTGTTTTTGAAGGGAACTGCTATCGCTATCTAGAGGCAGAGAGAGAAATTCCCCATACGTGTGAAATGGGTTTAAACGGGACTACGGATTTAGTGATAAAATGATACAATTTCAGTGTTTGCTCTGGGTTTGTGTTACAGTAGTACAGTAGAGAGTATTTCATAAGCTGAAGATTTACCCATACATGCATACACTAGAAAATATATAGCCTACAATAAATAAAATATAGGCCTACGTAATATAGGCTACAAATGTTATAAAGCATGCAGATGTTGTAGAGTACACCTGTTGCACGTTTAAGTCATATTCAGTTTGGTTTGCAAACCTTGCAGACAGATTTTAAAGAAAGTAACCTAAAAGTGGAAAATTGCTTATTCACCCTCATAGATGTCATCATAGATGATAGACTTCTCCATGGGAACAAATTTGAAGAAATTCAGCAGTAGCCTATATCACTTACTCACCAATGGATCCTCAGCAGTGAATGGGTGCCGTCAGAATGAGAGTCCAAACAGCTGAAAAAAACAAAACAATAATCCAAGTAATCCACACCACTCCAGTCCATTAACATCTTGTGAAGTTAAAAGCTGCATGTTTGTAAAAAAAACAAATCCATCCTCAAGATGTTTTAATGTTAAATCATACCATCTGGCCATGTTAACGCTTAAAGGGGTCATATGATGCGATTTCAATTTTTCCTTTCTCTTTGGAGTGTTACAAGCTCTTGGTGCATAAAGAAGATCTGTAAAGTTGCAAAGACTAAAGACTCAAATCCAAAGAGATATTCTTTATAAAAGTTAAGAGTCAGCCACACCTAATACACAAAATAATGTTATTTTTAGCAACATCATATGACCCCTAAATCCACCCACATATTTGTTTAGAACTGTTTTTGACTGTTTTGGCTTTGTAAACAGTGCTTGATCTGTGCATATCTCGCTCCTGATTCCTTCCAGACAAACTTTTCAGAAACAGCAAAATTATTTAGCCGGAAGTCAAAAACATCTTAATGATGGATTTGTTTCTTACAAACATGGAGCTTTTCCCTTCACAAGATGTTAATTGATAGACTGGAGTCATGTGGATTACTTGGATTACTGTGATGTTTTATCAGCTGTTTAGACTCTCATTCTGATGGAACCCATTCACTGCAAAACATCCATTGGTGAACAAGTCTGATCTGAATTCTGGAAAAGTCATATTATGTGAAACATAACATAGTATGTCTACAGTAACGAAGTGTGATGCTACAGGCGAACCTTGTTTGGACTTCTATAGCTCTTTGGACAAACATCCACATAGTGGTGTTTTAAATAGACATGGGGTCTATTATCCTGACACTGAACTGCTGTGTCATTAAGGAGTATGCTGGGTTCACTCTGCCTGAACATCTCTCAAATACAAATAAGGCTTTGGAACAGCCTTCTTTTTCATTGTATCCTATGCAACCTCTTATCCTACTGACTGTAACTCAGTACACATTCAACATGCTGTAGTTGCAGATGTCATTTGTAGCATGTTTATTCTTAATCTGTTGTACAATGAATTGTTAAAGATTACACATTGTCCAGTTGATCACCTTAAAGTCAGCATGCAGGAAATGGAAGGTATGACCGATTTTACTACCATATTGTGATGTAATTACAATTTATTTGTTATTTTTTGTCAATTTATTATTTTACAATTTGTCAATTAATAGTCTTTTCTTCCCTATTGTGTAAAAATCAGCGTTTTCATGAAACATTGTCAATTTTGATTTCATGGTGACATATGTGACAAACTAATCATATAAGCAGATGAATATAGACTATACACTTTATTGGGTGCCATTAATTGTATTTTTTCCTTGCACTGTAGTTGTTCTTTAGCTTTACATCTTTCTTCTGATCCCCTTTTCTATAGTCAGATGTTAAAAAACTTATGTAGGATGATGGGAGACTGTAATATCTGTAGAAATGTAAAAAAAATAGAGTGTGGAAAAAATATCTAGTATGAACAATGTACAGAGCCTGAATGCATGAATATTGTGTAGTGAGCAGCATTGCCTCTGTTTGTGCAGAAGCCGACGCAGTGCAGAGACTCAAGTCTAGTGTGCACCTGAGTGTGAAATTCTGTAGAAAACACTCTCACCAGTGGCAGTTTAAGCTTACATAATCACTCTCACAAACACACTAACATCTTATCTTATTAAAATGGCTCACTTTCTGTAGCTATATAATACAACACTACAGTCATATCTCATAATAAAATTTTGCTAAAAATCTTAGTTAAACCCAATGCAAATAAACATAGCTTACATGCAACACATGATTCTGGGTATGGACATTACATGTGTTGGTCTGAAGTGCTGGGGTGAGATATCACAAAGTGGTGACTTATAAGATGCTGTTATCAAATTAATGGTATGACAGGTGCATTCATAAAAGAATCATAGGATTATGAAGTTCAACAGCAACCAAACAGAAATTTAAACAACATCAACCTGACCATCAACAGTTAATTGTAATTACTAAAATATTTCAAACAATCTGTTTATTATTGCTCATATGGTTAATGATTCTACAAACATTTCAGCATGTAATGCATAAAGCATGTAATCACTTAAAATCAGCGTGAAACAGCATTATCATCTTTTCTTCTCTATTGTGACATATATCCGAGTGAAACAGCTTTTTGAATGAAAAAGGGGGGTCGGACTTGGCTAGGTAGAGACCCAAAAGGGTTGGGTAGAGACCCAGGTAGAGCTGGAGGAATAGAGGACCAGCGCAACACAATAGGCATGGAGGACCAGGGTGACATTGTAGGCCCAGATGACCAAGGCGGAGTTGATGGGTTAGAGGAGTGAGGCGTAGCCAGGGGCAAGGAAGACTGAGACAGGCATGGATGACAGTGGAGCAACAGGGGTGGAGGGCCCACATGCAGGAAAAGGCCTGGAAGTCCATGGCGAAGCCAGGGGAATGACAGACCAAGTCAGAGCTGGAGGGACGCGGGAGCCTGCTGGAGGTGGAGGAATGATGAACCAGAGTGGAGCAGAAGGGTTGAAGGGCCAAGGCAGAGTTATGGACTCGGAGGGCTGTGGTGGAGCCGGAGGGCCATAAGTCTCAGGTTGTGACTGAGAGTCTTTCTGGTGGGACAGGAGACCATGGTCATGGCTGTAGGTGGACTTGGCAGCTGGCTCTGGGATGAACATGGCCTCTGACTGAGGGCTGAACGCTTTTTTACGATTTTTACAAAGCTCATCATTCTGAAAATTGTGGTGTGCTGTGCTCTGATTGGCCAGCTATCCTGTGCATTGTGATTGGCCGAATACCTCAAGCATGTGACGGAAATGTTACTCCCCTTACCATATTTTGAATATCAGCTTCCATGACGGCGGCGGAAACAATACTACAGCGAGAATAAAAGTTAAGTCTTCTTTCTTTGCGTATACATTTCGGCGGTGTTATGCAAATCTTCCCACACAGTGATGTAGATATGTGGGGGCATGTTTGAATGAGGTGTTTTAGGAAGGCGTGGATGAGTCTAAACTTTTAGAAAGAATATCTCTTTGGGTTTGAGACTTTAATCTTTGTGACTTTACTGATCTTATATATGCACAAACAGCTTGTAACACTCCAAAGACAAAAAGAAAACATGAAATCACGTCATATGACCCCTTTAAGTAAACATGGGTTATAAATACTCTGTGCAAAAATAAATAAATAAATAAAAACAAGGCACAGGTAGGACTAATTAATTATTGAACAAATTAATTATGAAGGCAACAAATGAGAGTGGGAATAAACACAGGTAGAAACCACGGAAGGAAATGAACATAGACATGACAATTGGATGATTGTTGTTTGCTAATTGCTGCGATCTCATGTGAGTGACAGGTGTCTAGAGGGGTGGGATTATTGTGCTGCCCTTGCGTCAGTGCACATGTCATCAGAGAAGAGATGTTGCTGTGAGGGGAAGTTAACGTTTTTGAATAAAGAATATGAGGGCAAGGTCATTCCTACAGTTTGGTGGATTTTGGACTGAGCAGGTTTGGACTTTGGACTGAGTAAGTATTTTTTTTATTTGTCTTATCAGAGGGAAAAATGTCTATCAGAAAACAGACTGATCAAATATTTAACATTCACATTCTTTGAAGTCTGTCCACCCTGTTATATAACAATTTTACAATACAGTGTGCAACAGGGTGGACCTTAATAGCATAACAGTGGACCTTAACAGCATGGATTACTGGTTAATCCTAACATTTAGGAAGAAATATATTTGTCCAGTATAAACTGACACAAACGGGGTGGACGTGTTATGCTTTATGCTATTTACGTTTTCTTCAAATCAGGAAAATAGAGAAAAGTTTATGTTGCTTAGCCTCCAAGAAAATGATGCTACTAAAAGCACAAGTCAAGCAGCACCAATGTAACGGGATGGACTGGAGTTTAAGGAACATTAACTAATTTAAAACTTTTATTATTATTATTCTTGGGTAGTTACTAATAATTGATTTTTGGTAAATGTGGTAATAATAATAATAATTCCTTACATGTATATAGAGCTTTTCTGGGCACTCAAAGCACTTTTACATAGAAGAGGGGAATCTCCTCAACCACCACCAGTGTGCAGCATCCACCTAGCCATATTGCGCCAGAACGCCCACCACACACCAGCTAATTTTGGTGGAGAGGAGACAGAGTGAAGAAACCAATCAGTGTATGGGGATGGTTAGGAGGCCATGATGGTCAGAGGCCAATAGGCGAATTTGGCCAGGATGCCGGGGTTACACCCCTACTCTTTTTCGAAGGACATCCTGGGACTTTTAATGACCACAGAGAGTCAGGACCTCAGTTTAACATCTCATCCAAAAGACGGTGCTTTTTGTCAGTATAGTGTCCCCGTCACTAAACTGGGGTGTTAGGACCCACACAGACCACAGGGTGAGCACCCCCTACTGACCTCACTAACACCTCTTCCAGCAGCAACCTAGTTTTCCCAGGAGGTCTCCCATCCAGGTACTGACCAGGCTCAACCCTGCTTCAGTGGGCAACCAGTCTTGGGCTGCAGGGTGATATGGCTATATGACTCCCTCAGCTTTGTTTTGTACATAATTTTAGTCTACTTAATACGTTGTTTTCATACGTAATAATTGTAATAATGTAACAAAATTTGAAAAAAAGATACACATTTGGCTTTCATTTGGCATTCAAAGCGTAATATGTGAATCATTTGCATACTTAAATGTATGCTTAAAAAACGATACCCGCTGATTGCCATGACAACGGCAAAGCGTTCTCATGCGGCATATCATTTACACTGAAACAGAGCATGAAACCAATGCTAAATGCTAAACCTTTAACCTTTTGGCTACCTCGCATGCTCTGGTGGAAATTTAAATATTATCTATTATATCTATAGCGGCGCTTCAGCGGAATACCACGTGACAAGAGCGTTACGTCCGCGGTGATTAAATCGCTGACGAAAGCAACGCCAGCAGCGCTGCTGTAAGAATGAAGCGCGAGCAGCAGGTCTGAAGGACAGCAGTGACCGGTCTGTCATTGACAGCAGGCTGCTTGGCGAAACCAAATCACGTCGAAGAACACCGCGACATCCGCAGATGAAATGCACCTGCCTTCAGCGACCCATTTTCTCCTTCGAAACCTCAAGGTCCTTCGCCGGTAATGTAACAGGAAGAACGGGCACTGATGTGACACATTGGATCTATCTATTGAGTGAACGCGCTTTCACATTTAACAGTTTGGACAATATTGTCGCATAATTATGAGCTTTTTTTATGTCTGCGAAGCTATTTGAACACGAATATATTGATCAGTGAGCCTGGTTTCCATCGGTGCCAATAATATTTCCTGTCAACATACCACCAGTTCTTTTCAGTCTGTCTTGAACAAGGAAATTGGGTAAGAAATAGACTGATGCAAACACTATAACTGTTAAACTGTAATATGCAATAGAGCACAAGTGCAAACACGCTGAGTGCTTGCACAGGTATGATTGATAATTCGTACATAATTTAATAATATAATAGCCTATATGTTATGTTATTATTATTATTACAGCTGTGGTTATATACATTTAGATTGGACCCAAGTGCTGTGTCTTTGCTTCAGTGGTGTTTAACTGATACTGAATTGTTTACATGTTTTTTATCTGGGTTTTATTTATAGTTTTTTTTATTTATTGTTTATCATTTCTATTGTATGTATAAATGTGTGAGATTAATCAATGTGTGTTAGTGTGTGTGTGTGTGTGTTTGAAAGAGAGAAATGCATGTGCATTTGTGTAACTGGCTTTATTCATCGCAGACAGCCTTTCAATGTAATTAGCGCTATCAGATATCGAATGGTTCAAAAGCTTCTTCATTCGTCCTCTAATAAAACACACAGACACAGAAGTAGGTCATAATGCACATTATTGTAAGGTGACCTTCAGCAATTTCTCAGTCACCAACCTCACGTGTATAACTATGATTCAAAAGTATTAGAATATTTACATTGCATAAATAAAACCACTCATAAAACAACAGTGCACCATGTTAACTAATTTGCAATGATTTTAATTATACTTTACCATGGACAACACAACAAGTACAGTTCACTCATTTGCTATGAAGTGATTGAATCCCACCCACCCCCACAAACGTCTAATTTTTCAAGCTTCTCTAATTATGCATTTAAGTTTTCAACACTCAGCACAGCTGCATGCCTAAAAAGCATCTATCTATCTATCTATCGATCTATC